CAAACAGCCCTTCGCCTCGCTGCTGCTGCTACCAGTGCACTGGATTGCTTCTGGACGGAAGTCGCACGCATCTGGCTCGGTGATGATCCCGTCCGCCAGTCCGTCCAGCGCATCGCACTGCCTGAGAATCTCCGCCGACACGACGCTCCACAGCGCGGGTGGCAAGAACTGCGGCGGGGGTGCGGCGGGGTCGACGGGCGCGCCGACGTAGCGCGATAATATCAGGTCCCACGCGGAGGCGTGGTTAAAGTCCGTCGCAGGCGCGACATCCTCGTCATCCCCTTTGCGTAAGCTTCTTTTCCGGCCGCCAGATGTGCAGGCTTTGGTAATTCCAGCTGTGTCATCGCAGCCGTTTTATATAATATCCGGAGTCGGTTAACGGCATAGTAGGTATATCGTCCGGCAGTGAGGCTCTGCGTGGTTTTCAAAAGATCCAATCTGCGGGTTCGCTCTGCATGGTGGACACAGGCGTATGTGGGGAAACGACGCATCACCCTGTGGTGGTTGTGGCCCACAATATCAAGCCTGTTCCACACTCCTTCTAAGAGATTTTCAATCTCACCTTCTCTAGCAAAACGAGTCGCGGAGAAAGCCCATAATATGGACACGAACCCCGAACAGCTTCACGAATTCTGCGCATCCCCAAAATAATGAGGCAGTGTTCCGTACACCAAGTCTTACACGACATCTCAATAATATCTTCCAAACGTGCCTGCACAAAGTAGAGCAAGTTGGGGTCAAGTTTCAGCACGCAACAGAGGAGTGCTGTCTCCACATCAATGTTTTGCATCCTATTTCGCACGTACCTATGATCACATATCTTTTAAAAGATCCATAGACTAGTGGGCTGGCACGAAAGCGTGTTGACCCTCATGTAAGGTCCCGCACACCAAAAAAGACGGACAATTATCTGGCACTTCGGACACGGGGAGTCGAACCCCGATCAGCCTCATGAATGCTGCTGCTCATACTAAATAACCATGTCTGAATCCTACCTCCCAAGTGACCCTGCACAATGTAGATTTAATTCACGTGCCCAATACATCCCTCTCTCGCATCCGGAGATTTACGTCCAACTGTCAGCGCTGTGGACATCTGTTCCGCAGTATGTAGACCGCATAGTAAGCCGGCACGAAAGTCCGAGTGCAGCGTGCTGAACAACGCGCAAGGTCGCCATTACCGGGGGGCGACAAACTGGAATACGCACGACTCACATTCCTCGAGAACGTTCCTAGACAATGTCCTTCCCTCCCTCCCTCCTCCCTCCAGCGCTTGCTCCCACTGAAGCTGAATGTCGCACAAAGCAACTCTACAAAATCTAATTCGAATCCCAGTCCTCTATCTACCATTTCAGCTATAGTCCCTCCTGCCCTTTTCACGCCAGCCCCTCACGCCCTCCAACCCGCCCTTGATCCCACCCTTCCCACCCTCTTGTACTCTCCCCACAAATGAGCGTAGTCGATGTTGGCGCTCGCCCTCACCCCCCGCAAACGCCTCCTCCCACTACCTCTCGCTGCGCCAGCCGCTGGCATAGAATGCCTTCAGCAAGGGCATGGAGGTGCACATGGGGTGGGTGGCGGTGGCGGGCTAGTGGGGTACTCCCTACGCCATATCCGAATACTACCCACTAAGCGCCCTCGCGCAACGTAGACCTCATTTAATCCGCGCGCAGGAGGTCCTCGAGGCGGTGTTCTACGACCGACTCCTCCCGACCATCGCCACCGCGCGCCTCGAATCACCCGCAAGTTTAGAATTGCCCCATTGCCAAAATCATAATCACCCAGATCCAATACGTTGCATCAATCTAACGACCGCTGTAAGTACATTACGTATCTCTAAATAAGTACCACCCACCCTCCTCACCTTCACTCACTCGCCGGCGCACTCGCTGATATAGATAGGGGCGCAGAAGCGGAGATTGAGGTGGCGGACGAAGGCACAGGCCCAGCATAGAACCCATTTGCAGCGAGCACGACCGCGGGCGGCACCGTGAGGCGCCCAACTTTGAAGCAGAGCTGCGAGATGTAGACCGCTATAATAAAACACGGTTACTATCCGTCGCGACGAGCGGAGGAGCGGGAAAGGAGGAGAAGGACGGCGGACGAGATGAGACGATAATACGCGCTAAAACGTGGAGGAAAATGCAACTACGATAGAATCAGTGAGACGGCGACCCCTCGTGGCGCCCCCCACCCGAAGCCCGCCCGTGCGCTCGACACGCAGGCAACCGCGAATCAACCGCGAATCAACCCCCGCCCCCACCCGCTGCGCCTTGGCGCGCCGCAGAACCCATTCGCCGCGAGCACCACTGCGGGCGGGACGATGAGGGGCCCGACCTTGATGCAGAGCTGCGAGACGCAGACGGCTGTAGTTGAATGTGGTTAGTACGGGTTCTAAAAAGAGGAAAGGGGGAGGGGAGGAGATGAGAATGAGAAATGGGGAAGCAAAATGGGAGCAGGCGGAGCGCGGACCACGCGTGCGTAGCCAGAGGAACTGGTGGGCCCGCCTCCAAAACAAACATCTTCGTTGGCTCTCCACCCGAAGTCCGCGATCCGCCGGCGTGGCGTGCAACCCCGAATCAACCACCCGCCGTGCCTCGGCGCGCCGCACTAGTGTGTGTTCTGCGCGCGCCTCACGTGGGGGCCCGCGTGAAATGCAAAGCATCTGGCTGCCTTTCCTACAGTGCAATGCAAAGCATGGAAATGTTCAGCTGGTAATCCCACGATACGGTGCAATGTGGTGCAGGGCAGAGCTCCCACGGCACATACGCTGCGATAGGCACGAAGGCACAGAAACGCGTGGAGGAAAGCGCGTCAGCTCCAGCTCCGCGCGCGCGAGAACCACGAACCAGAAGCCGAGCGCGCGAGGTCGAGCGTAACGCAGGCGAGCCGCGCCCTCTAGCTCCACTCGCGGGGACCGCGCACGGTGCGCTGCATAACATACAAATTATAACGCACAACCGCAGAATGCACGCACGGCGCACAGGGCACCCGGGAGCGGAGGACTGGCGCGCAGCTGGGCACGCTGAGCGGGCCGCTGGAACGCGCAAACACGTAACGCCGGCACAACGCACAGCTCCGGGCGCGGGAGCCGCGAACGACGCGCGGGGATAAGCATAGCGTACGCCGGGACGCGCACAGCGCGCAGCTCCGCGAACCACAAACGCTGCGCTGAGCGGGCCAACGGTGGAATGCGCATAATCCACGCATAGCGCATAACGTATCGCACGCTGGGACGCGCACAGCACGCATAACGCACAGCGCAAAAAGCATAATGCACGCGGAGACGCGCAGGGCCCGCGCATAGCGCGGGACGCCGCGGCGGGCATGAGGGCACATAGCGGGCGCAAGCCTCAGCTCCGCGCGAGAGAACCGCAACCGGCGCCGTCGCTGGGCCGCGCGCAGCGCAAAACGCGTAACGCACGCACAGCGCGCTGCGCCGCGGGGGACATAAGGCACAGATACGCGCGACAGCCCCAGCTCCGCACGGGAGACCCGCGAACGGTGTGCACGAAGGACCACCGCGAATCTTCATCGTGCCTCGCACGAGGCCGCCATATCGCGCCATCCCCTGGGGAAAAAAGGACAGGAAGGAGGAAAAAGATAAACGCACTATACAACACCGCCCCGTCCGGCTCCGCCGCCACCATCTTCGGCTCCGCCGCCACCATCTTCGCCGCGCGCGCGAGGAGCTCCTTCGCCACCTCATCCGCCCAGCATGAAAGGTATACTGGCGCTGGGAGTCTCGAGGAGCGGCGTCGCGGGCGTCTTGAGCGTAGCGACAAGCGGATTGGCGGGGTTCGCATTAGCGGCAGTTTTTGGGCGTTTGGAGGAAGAGGCAGGCTTGACGAAGCGTGAGATTACCCAGATCTGCGGGGGCGTTAGCGCGCGCTCGCAGCGAGGGGGAATATGGGCACGCAGAGGGCCGAGGGAGGGGGAAGAGATGGAGGGATATGTGAGGAGAGCATGGTCTACGCACCCACTTGTCATCCTACGCGCCGATGGACGCGCGCACCTCGTAGCGCGAGCATCGGGATCTCGCGGAAGAAGTGGCAGTGTGTTACTGAGGGAGCAAATGAACGATACGAGTAGGAATTAGTCGAGAAAGGAGGAACGAAACGCGAGGGACGCACTGGCGAAGTGGATGTACGCCTACGGGCATACGCGCCTCGTGCCAGGCCTCGAGCGCCGGCGCCCTTTCCTCCTTGGCCGGAAAGAGGTGCCACAGCCACTCAGCGACGTGTGCGAGGAGATCACGCGCACCGCCAGTGATAGTGAGGCGATATAGCTCGAGGAGAACGAGGGGAGGCACGGTGCCAGACGAGCGGCCACGAGCGGGCGTTGAGGAACAGGAGCCCCGAGGGCCTTGGTTGCGGTCGGCACGAGGCGCAGGGCTGGGAAGGCACCGTGGAGCGAGCGAGCTGGACGCGTCGCGGTGACAGCGGGCTCCGGCTATGGCGAACGCCGGTGCCGGTTCGTTCGAGCGGCTGTTTGCGCGCGCTTGTCTTCCCAGTCGGCTTCGCTCGGCATGTTCAGCAATATATCCTCCTCCTCCTTCAACGGAGTGAGGGCGTAAATACGAAGAGAAGGCTGAATCATTGGTGCATCCCGAATCAATCGGCACTGGCTCCAATTTTCGCGCAAGTCCTGCGCTATGAATTGATTTAGCCAAGCTAAAACTTCCTGATTTCCCTAAAGTTTAAACCCTGGATATTGCCAACTTGTATCATCATTGACTGGGCCCCTCGGAGTGCTCGTAAGGAGCCTCAATAATAACAGTCTGTGCTTCCATGTGAAATCCCCCCTCCCGACACTTTTTTTGGGGGCAGGTGTTCCTGTTAACGCGTTCAACATCCACCCAAATAAAAAAATCATTTATAACTCCCCTCCGAGTTCTACCCTACTCTCCCGTTCGCCTGGGAAATTATCAAGTTCGCATCGATATGCCTGGAGATTCAGAGCGCCGGAAATGGACAAAAAATATTCTCAGTACGCGACCAGTTCAGACACGGGGAGTCGAACCCCGGACTGCCTCATCGACTTTTCATATTTAGGAGGCTGTGTACCCTACACCATGCCTCACTGCATTTGAAAGCTTTATGTCCTCGTATTTCAATCACGCCCCATCGCTAATTCTTGTGGGTCCGGGAATTGTAAATGCAGTCGAGCGCAAGATGCACCCAGTTGCAATGCATTGGGAGAATGGGAGTGCTGGTGAATAGCAAAAAAAAATATCAATGGTGTTGTTCACTGGGATGTCGGACACGAGTCGAACCCCGGACTGCTTCATATTAAGTGCTTGATCATGAATCTAGAATCTCAATTGAGGTGCGTCGTCAAATGGCATAAAAAATCCACCTCAGTACGCGATCTATTCAGACACGGGGAGTCGAACCCCGGACTGCCTCATAAATATTTCCGTAGAACGTCCACTTTCTGAGACGGTGTTCCGTACACCACGTCCGACTGAAATGGTTCATTGGAATGCTCTATATCTTACCATCTGGACGCTGCCTGGGGCAATTCATTGCCCGACAGCGCAAGAGCGAGACAATCGCGTGCAGTTCGAACGTTTAACGTAAGGAATTACACCTCCTACCTGTGGGTAAATTCCATGCTGAGGCATTGTAAACGGCGCTCGTCGTTAGTTGCGGCCAGCGCATGGCAGCTTCACACAATGTCAATCCCACCCTTCTGCTTGGAATTGGGTGATGCCCAAATGCCATGGATGCCTTAGCTAATAGATGGGGTCTTGGGAATAACATTTATGCAGTTTCTAACTTCGCTGGTTGCCAACTAGTTGCATTGGCCATGTGCCAGCTTTGAACTGATTGCCGAAGGTTGTGGGAAGATCGTCACAATGTGTGAGGTCACACATCTCTTCCTCTTCCTTCCACCGTGAACGTCCGAGTTACTGGAAAACTGGTCCATGGACCGGTCTACTAGACCAGTTGATGGACCTGATGGTAGACCGTCGCCGGATCAGCGTGCATAGACCGCATCATAGACCATGTCACGGCTTGTGATGGCGACCTAGTAGACTTCGACTCAGACCTCCACGTAGCCCAGCCTCTAGACCTCAAACTCAAGGATAGACCTCCCGGTAGACTTGATTTTCTTTAAAAGGGGGCCATGTAATTTTAGATATACCAACAATTTTGCGCACGAACCAGTGAACCACAAAGTTCGGGGTGCTATTTGCCCCTAACATTGCACTTTCTGTGATGTTGCCTCAATCCCCTCCCCAAAAGGACATCCACGACCTAGCTCATTATTAAGCATTAACCTCGAGGCACCCACCACCAGAAGAATGCTAGCAAACGAGCCGAGACTGCCGAGTGCATTCGGATCGGGCCGAAGGTCTACGCCGAGGTCCATCAAGTCCACATCAATTGTTGGGTTCATTTGTGACGGTACACATTTGAGGTTTATCGTGGGGTCTACTCTCAACTGTATTAAGTAATAAGTCTACGGTCTGGTCTACGGTCCACGGTCTACGGTCTACAAACAGGTCTATAGACCACATTTCTGGTGCATCCGATGCTTTGCTTCCACCTCTTTTGCTTCCCGTTCAGGTGAGCCTGCGACGACCGTACACACTGCGAAGCCCCCCGTTAAATCGCGCATCCAGCGGCTGGCTGCAACCTCACCACTGGGACACATCGTACGGATGGCTGACTTGGACCCATCGTGCGTCGTTTCTCACTTGTTCTGAATGCGCGAGTCTGACAGAAGAAAAAGCCCCAATGAACATCCTCCTCCTCCCCTGAGCATCGAAAATCTAGCGTCATACAAAAAACGAAGCCCTCCCTCCCTCCGAAGCCCTCGTCGCCCGACCGTGGCTCCTTGGCGCGGAAGCGAAACTAGCGCGCATAGACGAGGAAATTCGACGCCTGGAGTCCCGCCGGAATGCATTTCTTGTTCCTGTACAGGCGTACCGCGTGGCATTGGCTCCCCATAAAATCCTCCCCGACGACGTCCTGCGCGAAATTTTCTTTTGGGCGACTTTCATGCAGGTCTCACCCAACGCGGATTTGAATTCAATCCTGTCCGGGCACCCAGATGTGCGCATGGTCATTTCCGGGGTTTGTTCGCGGTGGAGAGCTGTTTCCCTGGATATGCTCGAGCTCTGGAGCGCTGTGCGGCTGACAATAGATGATGCCCCACTACGCCTCTTTAATAGCCTTGATCGCTGGCTGGCCCGCAGCGGTCGGCATCCGATATCACTGGATATTCAATCTGCATACAATCTGTCTGTGCCCCTACCTCCCATGCGATATTCCGATCGGATCCGCCACCTATTCATTGACAGTCTCGAGGCCCTTGTGAGCCTGACGGGACCAATGGACTTTCTGGAGACATTTAATGCCATGGTGGGAGATGACCTCATTGCTCCCCTTTCCGTCTTCAGGAGGGCTCCTCGACTTCGTTCCCTCACAATAAGCACCCCCGACGGCGCCCCATTCACTCTAGATTTCCGGCTACTTGGCATTCTGTGGCCCCAACTGACGTATTTATACCTCGGCATCGTAACCATCTCACAGTCCTATCGCATTCTTAAGGAATGCACCGCTGTTACCTGTGCTCACCTTTTCCTCGGCCTGGCCTGCGATGACCCCGGCGAAACCATCGATCGAGAGATCGTCCTTCCCGAACTTCGGAAGCTGACGCTCAAGGGGTTCATGCTTTGCGAGCCCGCCAAACTCCTTGGCAGCTTGTTTCTACCTGCCCTTCTAGAGCTGTTCTTGTCAAGAGACGGTGAGTACGACGAGGACGCCAGGATGTACTGTGTACCGAGCGGATTTCCAGCTCTGCGACAACTAACAGTTCACGATGCGGATGGCAATAGCAACATGAATCAGATGGTGTCTTGGCTTGCTGCATGCCCCTCTGCAGTTGGCGTTCGGCTACCTGGGCATTCGATGGTCAATCCCGTGCTCAGCCAGATAGCTGAAGGGTCATTGCTCCCGAACCTCGAAATGCTCATCATCTGTGACGCGGAAATCCCTGCGTTGCTTGCGACGTTGCAGACTCGCCAACGGAGTCTCATCCACTCGACCATTACCGAAGTTGGCATCTGGAGTTGGGATCCGTTCGGGCCGCACGAGAGGGAGGGCCTCGCCGGACTGATGAAACTAGGTGTTTTCCTGGGTAGATACTCTGGGTACGTCGATAAGCGTGATGGGTACGATGATGCGCGTCGAAAGGTACGTTCGATTCCTTGTGAATGAAATCGTGCACCACTGACCCTGTTTTAGATCGCGAACTCCGCGCGGTACGACTTTGAAAACAGCCGTGGCCTTTACGCATAAAAAAATCCTCGAACGAGGCTGATGAAGGGTCGTTGTGAAATTCGCGGGAGATAGCGCCGAGGCAGGATATTGATACATGCACCAGTGAGACAGGCCCGTCGTCGCGTATATATGAAGTAGCCTTTGTCATCTTTCTTCAATCGAGAAGCAACGTGCTGGGATTATCCATCTTGCTAAGCAGCGACAGTGAAAATTTATTGACACCTACAATGAGCTATGCTGTGCTCTAAGCTCTGCTGCGCCTTAACTTATCGCCTTCACATTTTGAGTCTTGTCTTTTGCTCCTGCCCTAATGCCCGCTGACTGGATTCTCTCACCCAACAACCCTGAGAATCTGAATGCCCCATATCATTCCATCAGGATCACGTCGCTCACTAGCACGCCGATCTCACGATTCGGTTCAACGCGTCAACATGCTGGCTGGCGGATGCGTCTCCAGGTCCTTCTGCGGGACAAGGATGAGGTGAGCGATGCTCGCTCGAAAATCCTTAATCCGCTGCCGATCCCATAATATTGGAGGCGGTGTCCCATACACTATATTCGAATGTAACGTGTCCACATCATATTTTTGCATCCGACCTCGCGCGGACATCGTTTCTTACAAAAAACGGTGGAGGAGCATGCAAGGACGCAAAGCTAGTGCAGCCGCGCACTACGCCGGCGATCTCTCAAGTACAGGGAAAGAAAAACCACGAAAAACTCTGTCAAGTTGGACATGTGGAGTCAAACCCCGATCAGCCTCATTTACTCCGGCGCATGTCTCTCAATTGAATGAGGCGGTGTTCCACACCCCCCGTCTGAATACCACCTCCCAAGCGTTCTCACCCAATATCGATCCTGTTCTATTCTTGCGCATGGGGTCCCTCTCACCGACTTGGAAATTTGGCATCCGGCTGGACGTCCGTACCGGGCTCCGCAATTTGGAAACTAGTATTAATACGCCAGGATGAAAGTCGTGTAGTGCAGCGTGTTGAATCGCATAGACAGTCTCCGCACACAAAAAAAAAAGAGGAGGGGGTTAATTGCAGCATTTCGGACACGGGAGTCGAACCCCGGTCGGCCTCATCCATTGCTCCCTGGGCTACATCGAAAAGCAGAAGGCGGTGTTCCCTACACCATATCCGAATACTACCCTCCAGACGTTCTCTTCAATATCGAGCAATTTGATTCGTGCGCAGGAGGTCCCGGAGGGTCTCAGGCTGTTCCACGTCCGACTCCTCTCTTCCTCCCCGTACAATCACATGCAAATTAAACGCTGTCTCATTGACAATACCAACCGAATGAAATAAGCTGTATCTACCATAACGACCGTTCCGAGGACGTACGTATCTCCAATCCTATCTTCCTCGCTTCCACTTTCAATCAGCGCCGCATCAGGTCCTTCGCCGACGAAGACGAACACCCATACTCACATCTCCGCCGTCTCCGCGGCGGGAGGGCAGACGGCACAGAGACCTAGGCCCGCAAAAACGAGCTGAGCGCGAGAGCTGAGGCACGCAGGAACGCGTAACGCACGCCGGGAGGGCGCATTGGTGAGAGGACGCGCATAGCATATCACAAGCGTGCGCCTCCTCCTCCCGCAAACCCCCGCGCGCGAGTCTCGGCTTGTGCGAGGACCGCTGGGACGAGCGCACGCGGAACGGGCATGAAGACACGCGAAGAGCGAGAACCAAACCGCAAACCGAGGACCGGTGGGCTGGAGCGAGTATAACGCGCCTCACACATAGCGCACGCACAGCGCGCAGCACACAACTCGGCGGAGGACCGAGA